TTTCCCTGCTCCTTTCCAGTGCGGGGGGCAGAAGGTAGCCTGGGATCAATAGTGGAATCCAGAAGTATGATGTGGTTATAAAGCTGGTCGCTAAAGGCAGAGGACTCTTCTCTCATCCATCTCCAGTAGATCCAGTACTCACATGCTAAATGAAAGAGCATATTTCCATGTGACCCACCTGTTTTGGTGCTTAGCGTGTGTCTTCGGTAGAAGAGAATATTTCTTTATTACTTGCAGAAGTAGTTCCTAAATATAATCTCTTTTTTTTTTTTTAATGTAGTTTTCAAATCCTTCAAGTTATTGACCAACAGAGAGATGCCTAGGCTACATTCACTTCATTTGGAACAATCCTGGGCTTTACCTGAAGAAGATCTTTCCTCCCAGGAGTAAAGTGCTTGGAGAGTGTGAATTCTTGCATTAAACGTGTGATTGTTACTCTGTTTAAGTTAGAGAGATGCTGCCCTCCATCTTTTCCCTGTTCTCTTTACTTGTCATCCTTTAGCAGTTGCTAATGTGGGAATGTGTGGAGAATGTCAGAGATAAAAGCAGAGTTAACCAGTAACGACTTCTACAAGAGCTGCCTTTGTGCATTCACTCAGCCCACCAATCTGCCCATTTTTCTTGATCTCTCTTTGTATATCAGGATAATGTTGTCTAGGGAAAAAGGGTTGAAGATTGTAGCGGGGAATTTTTATATAGTTAAAGTAGATGAGATCATCCTTAATCAAATATGCTCCTTCATCTCTTGCTGGGTAGTGCTTTTGAAATGTGATCCTCCAACCCGACTTCCGACATGCTGAATCCTGCCGTTAAGAATATACAGAGACAGCTCCTAAAAAATTTTGGTTTCTAGGCTTCTAGACAAAGAGGCAAGAAAGACTTCTGACAGAAATATACCTGAGATGGGAACAAAGCATAGGTGTTGTGAAACTGCACCAATGGCCTGCATAGTCCATTTTTATCTTAAAAATTGATTCTGCAAGTTGTGGAGCGCTCTCATCTCACTGCCATAAAGAATCAGCTTTAACCACTTGAGTAATCTTGGTGATTTCATCACTTCGTGCTGCTGCTTTCAGAAAGTGCCAGTGCCACCAGCTGTGGAGGAGCAGACGGTGCTCCCTGCAGAGCGGGGATTCGCGCAGCCCACAGATTCACTAGAGATGGATAATAATTTTATATTCTGAAGCATAAGGTATCTACTTCCTATGAAAATACATTACAACCACATTACAGATAATGTTGGGCTCTCTTTTTTTCTCTATCAAGACAGTGAGCTCTGTGAACTCGATTTTAATAAATTCTTCAAAGTGATCAGTTTTATACTTACTAACTTTTGGTTTCACTCACTGTCTTTATGGTTTTCTATTATGAGAAAAACCAAGTATTCCTATCTGCCTTCTGTAGTGCTCCTTACTTTAACTTTCTAGTGTTTTCTGTCTAAAACAGTCACAGTCTTTGTTGGCACATAGAAAAATATCTGAAGTGTTGGGAAGAGCTAGTTGCAGCCTCTAGATACGTCTGTAGAAAAAACTCCTTAGTTCTTACTTTCAAAGAGATTGAGATTGAAATGTATTCCCTTTCCCTTAATATTCTCTCATATATATACATATATTATAATCATTAATTATTAATTTATTGTTTATAAATAAAAAAACCAACCCTTACATTCGTAAGAATGTCACGCCTAGTATAAAGAAGGGCTGAACTGGAAAACGGTTCAGAGACACAAAACCAGTCACAAATAGTATTTGTCCACAGACTAAACGTAGCTGAAGTTCAGTGTTTGTAAAATTGAATTTCAAAAAATCACAAAGTATGTGAACAAACTCAGAAATGACTTTTCAAAGACCTCAGTCAGAAAGACTCTTTACTGTTCTGTTTCACCTCTTGCCTATTCCATCAGAAGAATTGCTGTATATTCTGCTTTGCCTCAGGTTCCCTTTTTTTCAGCAGCACTGAAAGAACTGCTCAGTATGGACTTTCTGTGCTGTTTGATTCTGATTATGCAGGAAGAAGGATCCTTGAACAGATACTGAAAAACAATCTGAAGCTGCACGTTTAATTTTCTACATTATTTTCTCCATGGTACAGATTGTGGGAAACTGTGTTTCGTTGTTATTGTGCATGCTGCATAAATTCAGACTTTGACAGATGGATTCTGTTCTGCTGAGTTCAGTTCTCCTTTGGTCATTGTCCTGTCCAGAAACAGGATCAGGCCCCAAAGTCTAGTTGTTGTAGTCTCTGTGAAGCATTGAGTCATATCTGCTATGAAGTTTGATGGACAGATGTAGATTGTCCATATTTAGTTCTGCTTTACTGTCTCTTTTTTTCAGGAGGAGTTTTCTGGCTTACTTCTAGTATTAATGTAATTTGTGAGGTCAAAGATTTATATGTCTGTAGAGGATGGCCAATGCTCTGCTCACTTTCAGCAGAAAGTTTAACTTAGTTTCTACTTCATACCACTTTAGCTTTCTAGTTTTAAAATTCCTTATTTTATATGTCTGGAAATGACAGAAAGCTAAGGCCTGTGGTTTGAATTTTCCTGTGGACACTGACTTTGATAATATGCTGTAAATACATCCTAATTAAACCTTTATGTACAGAGTAAAAGCAAAGGGGAGCACAGTGCTTTTAGCTTCCCTGCTTTTTCCTAATAAATACAGCTGTCACAGTGAAGGAAAAATTAGCTATTCATAAACATCTCAGTTTTACTTAGTCACAGTTAAACGAGCTTTTGTAAGATTTATTTTATTACTATAAATGCTACTCCTTGAAATACCTATCTACAAGCTATTTTCACTGTCTAGCATCAGATAAAGACACACGAGTTTTGACAAGTTGAAGGCTAGAAACCTTTGCAGGAGATAGATGTCACTGGAAGTCTACCATCAGATTATTTCATAAAGCGGAGGGAAGGTGAAGAAGGGGAAAAGAGAGTAGTTTTTCATTCTGTTGTTAAGCTTAAGGGGACAGATATTATTCTTCTAATGTCTGTTCCGCTGAAATGAAAAACTCACTGAAAATGATAATTTCTTCGACCTACCTATCTACACCGAGAAAAGAGAAGCAGCCTGCTTTTTGTCTTAAAATGTTATGCACGTGCAAAGTATGTGTCCTCTGTTTTACAGAAAATAATCTGCTCCTTTGTGAGGCTTGAGATGTTGACTGGTTTAGTTCTCTATGTGAAATATTTGGTGATAGATAGATGTGTGAAGCTTTTGCATTTGAAAAGCTGTCATGCCAATAAAATGTATTAAACTCCTTTTTGCTTTTTTTTAAATTCCCTTACGTTCTCCATTGGTGGTATTCAGTTATCTGCCCAGTCCTCGTTTTTTTTTCACCTGGTTATGTCTCAAAGGTGCTGTAAAGTAACCAGCAGTGCCTGGCAGCTAGCCTGTGCTTACTTAGTCAGTTATCCCTCTAATTATTTCTGTAGTTTCCCAGGCTAATGATCAACATAAAAAATTATGGTGCAGTATATTATGTTGCAGTCTTGCTGTAGTCAGCTAGACATTTAATGTGATATGTTACACTGGACAAATTTTATTTAGAATGACAATTTGAACCTCGATCCCAGGTTTTATCTGGAGCTCTTTGGATGCTGTGTTGTTTTAGGTTGTAAAAAGTGGCATTAAATTAGCTTCCAAAGATGAGAGGCAAAACTGCCAATGCCCAAGGAAGCTAAGGGATTATAAATGTTTACTTTCTTGCCAGTCATTAGACTCTTGTGCAAAGAAATTACTTTGTTTCAGAATAGTAAAAAAAAAAAGCAAACCCAATAAACTCCCGTGTCGTTGTGGCTCTCCCTAAGGAAGCACCACATCTGCTGGCAGGACAGCTCACGTAGCATGATCTCTGCATCGCTCATAATTTCCTGTACCCAGATTAATAAAATGCCTTGAAAGCAAAAGGCAAAACCCCTCATGTTTTATCGTAGCCTGAAGACAGCAAATACTTGAGCATGCACGAGTTTTAGTAGGACTACTTTAGTGTTAAAATGAAGTACGTATGTGCCTCCGTATTTCTGTAGTTAGTATCAAAGGGCTTATGTATACTTGTAATTTATACCTCATTAAATCATGCAGAGAAATAATACATTGTATTCTTTGATAATTATATTCACCAAATTCTTCAGCCCCATATGAACTCCCAGTAAACAGGTGTCGTGTTTGTGTCAAATTGTTTGGTCTTAGAGAAAGAAGGATAAAGGTAACAGGCTAGATGTCGGGGGGAATTTGCTTCTAAGTCTGAAATTTAAATGCTCTAACCCTTCTCTTTACCATGTCATACATTACATAGGAATCTAAATGGAAGTTTCTTTTTGAAGAAAATTTTCCTTGATTAAAAATAGCTATCTACCAAGCTAAAGGATATATTTTCTTAAAAAATAGTCATGAAAATGTGTTTTTATTTGATATCCAAAACATCCAAATCAGTTTTTCTCCTTTAACAGAAGGATTCAATGAGAGATTTAATCAGAAGCGCATTTTCCCAAGCTGAGGGATAAACCTTAATAAAAACAAGACACAATGTAATTCATGGAATTCCAGCACCAGGCATGAAAAGTGACTGGTATAGCTATATTCCATGAGCCAGTGAGTTAAATTTTCTTTGAATTGTAAATATATGTTCCTAAAAAAATGTTTTTTCATTTAAATAGGTTACCAACAAGGTAATGACTGTAATGCATTCCAAGTTTAAAATGCATTTATTCCGTTTAGAGAGACTCAGTTCATCCTTCACAAGAAAGTTTACAATGTTTGAACTCATTCAAGATAAAATTTTATTTTTTGACATAGAGAAAATATTTTTAGCAACATGTAGTACTCTTAAAATCATGAAGACAGTGATCACAGAAGATGCCAAATAATTGAAGCCCTTGCTTGTCTTGAACATTGAAACAAGGCAACCAGAGAAAGGAGATGCTGGAGGCGATCCTGTAGCTGGGGATTAGCTGCATTACCTCACCCCCGCTGTCCTCCGTGGCAGAATGAGTCAGAGCATTGCATGCCATCAGATGTGATGAAATGAGATGCAACTCTTCTTTAAAAAAAAAGTACCCCAACAGTAATATAAATTCAGTTTGTCAAGGTTTAGTGTCCTGTTTTTTGGTTGTGCCTTGAAGTTGCTTGCTAACCTCTGCGTACGTGCATACGCATCGGTGGTGTAACATGGCTCAAGGGAGCACAGTTTTCATGAAAGTGTTCTGTTCCTGTTGCTTGTGGTATTTAGATATGAAGATTTAGCTGAATAACACTGCTCATGCATCCCTCCTGTATCCTGGTATTTTTCAGAGAAAGGAAAACAAGTCATCTCGAGTTTGTTGTTTCATTTTACTCTGCTCCTTTCTGGCACTGGAGGCTCCAGAGATCACAGTGATTCCTTCCTGGGCAGGGCTGCTGCCACTGCCTTGGAGGGCAATCAGAGAACGAGGGAAATAGCAGATGTACCTGCAACAAATACACTGATTTTTTTGAATGCTTGTGTACTAGGGCTTGCATTCACTGAAAATTGGTGGGTCTCTGCCTGAGTTCACGTGAAGACACGAGTGTTAGCAGTTTTCAGATGAGTTAATTATGAGGGCTGTAGATTGCCATTGCTTGCTAGGATTTTCTCTGAAGTTTTGCGTCTGCCCGTTATTGAAGCGAAGTCAAGGCTGTAGAAGGGCTACAGTCAGTGTGGCAACATTATGACCAGCACTGGATTTTGGAGGGTTTTGGTGTGGTATCTGTAAATGATAATGTACTTTCTTTTTTCCTCTAGCCCGGGTCGTTCCCCAGTTTCCTTTGACAGCGAAATAATAATGATGAATCATGTGTACAAAGAAAGGTTTCCAAAGGTAAGGAATCACTTTTTGAATAATACATTCGATGAACTTATGACCAAGCTCAGAATTAATTTATAGTGCTCACTGGAGAAGGAGTCCAGGTCTTACCTCTGATTTCCAAGCAGTGCAGTTTTCTGAGAGTTTAAAGCTGCCTTGTCTGCTTCATATGGTAATTCTGCAGTAGAAGAAATAGAAAAGCTTTGTGTATTTGTGTATGTATATCATATTTACTAAATTTCTCATGTCTTATTGGCATGACAGATGCTCACAGGAGTGAGGAGAAGGGCCATGCCCTGGCTGCTCTCTCCATTTATGTTGTTTATGAGGCCAGTGTCTCCATGTATTTTGAACAATCCATGTCTTTTTCTTTAAATTCTGAATCCGATCAAGGCTGGAAGAGGAATGTTTTGCTTAGTTTCATATATACTTAAAAAAGCTATTTTAGGATAATTTCAAAATATGTTAAATAATATTCACTCGTTATTCCCTTGTATAACTGCATTAAATTTGCTTTATACGGATCCCAGCTTCTTTAGTTTTGGTAGACTTTCATTTACATAAAGGAAATGAGAACTTTTCTTTTAAAGTCATTCCAAATTATACTGGAGCCACTGGGGCTTTTGGTACCAGAGAATCGATGAAGATAGATTTGGATTTTAGAAAAGTCAATCTGGATTCAGTCATACTGAAATGTGCTGAAGTGATCTGCAGAGAAAAGAAGTGTGGGGTTTTTTGAAAAAAAAATGCTGAATATTGAAATCTGTGGGATCAAGCTTTGAAAGTTAACATCTCATTGCAATGACTGTAGAAGATTGTGTATCCCAGAGCTGTCGATATGGCCGTTCCCTCCTGTTCTACCAACACCACAACCAGATGTTTCTCCGGAGACAGGATATCAGTGCTTACAGTGATAGAAATGCTGTGTCTCTGTTGCTTGGGGCAGTGATTTTCAAGTTCCATGGTCTTGCCTAGAAGTTCTGAAAACTGCCTCGCATATTACGTGCTTCCTCTGGAGACCCAGGGAGGAATACAGCCTCAGGACCATGATATTTTTATGGTCATTTGCATTTTCAGAAAGTGTGTTCCGATTAATTTTTGTTGTTTGCTCATGTGAACATAACTTTTGCCTATGGTTTACTATTTTTATTTTCAACAAAGCACTATTGTACTTTGGAATGCTTTTTAAGCCTTGTGCATTTTGAATTTAAGAATATGTTACTTTAGCACCCTACTTGTTTATGTTTAAGTTCTGGGATAGTGAAATTTAAGAATAATTTCTGTTTATTCTATACTCTTAGGCCACAGCGCAGATGGAAGAACGGCTGGCTGAGTTTATTGCCTCTAATGCTCCAGAGAACGTGCTGCAATTAGCAGATGGGGTCCTAAGTTTCATTCATCATCAAGTTATTGAACTGGCCAGAGATTGCCTAGATAAATCACGTGAAGGTCTTATTACTTCTCGGTACTTTTATGAGCTGCAGGAAAACTTGGAGAAACTTCTCCAGGATGTAAGTGCTCTCTGGGAAGTAGAATATATTATTTTGATTGAAACTTTAAACAATAAGCCAGAGCTTTGATTTTGGGAGAGACAATGTGGATTTCAGGGGAAGGGCAGTGGGTGGGGGTGTCAGGAGACTGAGTTGTTCCGCTCTGTTGTTCATCTATCACGGGTGAATTTGAGCAAATCACTTCACCTGTGTACTTTGTTTGTACAAAATTTAAATATGCGTATGAGTAAGTCAAAGGCAGTCTTTACCATTTATGAAAATAGGGTTCATCCAGATGAAGGAAATTACTGAACTTTTATTTCATGTACTTCAAGACTCTGAATGACTTATTAATTACAATAGTGCCTTCAAGGACTGAAAACACCATAGTTTGTAGTGTTGCTATAAATTTTTCATAAAAGATTTTCTTGAGCTGAACTTAATCCAGTTGTGGGTTTTTTGGTACTTCAATGTGTTTTGTGGTGTTCAAAGCGTATGGAAATACACAAGGGGGCACAATTTTAATGCATGCTCAGTATGCATCAGCTACTCATTAAAAAGTGCTGTTTTCCCTTAAAACAAAAATAATATTCAATTCAAAAAATCTTTTAGAATTTATGCTGTAGCTGTTGTGAAGAGTCAGTGCTATTACAAGTTGCTGGGTCCAGAGCTCCGTTTGGGAAGGTCTTCCTAATCCTATGCTTTGATTTAAGAAAACATTGTCAGATAACAAATATCACTGAGACACCTAGAAACAGAGCACCTGAAAGAATTTGTTTCCTGTGATGATTTTTAATTTGTTTGGTGAAGGTGTGTTTATATGTCATTCATCAGTTTGCCAACCCATAGCATGATCTGCACTATTTTGTGCCCGGTTGCCACTCTTTCTAGACATTAGAAAATGGCAGATGAATAAAAATACTGTATTAGTATACAATTATTGTATTAAAAAGCTTTGTGAATACTGCAGAATCTTCCTTTGTATTAGCTAATATATGAGCTTAAACATGAGTGTGGCTGTGATTTCCCTGTTACTTGTTATGCATGGGAGAAAAATGACTCATGTTTGGTTTTGTGGTGTTCTGCCTGGATGGGGAGTAGAATTTTGACAGATCAAGAGAGGTAGGGAATATCTTTTGAGGGCCGATGTGGTTGTCAGCCTGTGGGATATCATTAACCACTGTGGATGCACTTAATAGTAAAAAATGTGTTTCCTGGTTAAAGTGGTGTTCTTTGGATACCATGCAAGAGTTTGACCACTGATACACTTTCTCTGCCCAGGGCTGAAGAAACTTCATCTAGTCAGAGGTATTGTTCAGTATTCGTAGTCTTTAAAGAAGAGCAAAATGTTTCTGGATTTGGACGGTGGCAGTGTGGCCTTCCTGGGCAGGCCAGGCAGCCCCTGGCCATTGTGGCTGGCGAGGCAGCGAGCAGCCCTGCATGTGTGGGATGGATGTGGGAAGGGGGATGCAGGGGTTGCCTACAGCCGGGTGAGCGTGGGTTGATGGGTCCACCTTGTATCTCCAGAGTCTGGAAGCGCACGTCAGCTATGAAATAAGGGATCAGGCCTCTTTGGGTGATGGTTTGAAGTGGAAAAGATTTCACTAGGAGTGGGTGCGTACACTCCTCAGAAGAGCTTGCATTTCAAGGGACGTAAGGGGACTGCAGTGTGTTTTGCTGCTTCTGGTAGCAGATACTTGGAGCTTGAAATTCTCCCACTCCCAGACTTTCCTCCTCTGTGTGTGGACACTGATTTCCCATACCGTAAGGAATTAAGAGAGCAATAAATTGGGTCTGACCACTTCCAGTCTGCACTTTCAGACCTGTCTTGTGGCCTGAAGAGATTAATCAGGGTCTTGGAGAAGGTGTGGGTCAGATAAATCTGCTTTTTCCTTTCCTCTCCCCTCCCTCAGAGCAAATTCTCAAAACCCACTTCCTGAATGTCCTTTTCGCCTTGATGCTATGTGCATTATACTGCTGCTCCTAAGCCCAGGGAAAGATGACATTGAACTGTTATTAGAGAAGATACAGTGGTCAGCTCTGGGCTTGTTCAGGAATTGACGTTCAGGGCTTGCTTTGACCTCTTCCTGCTTAACATCTTCTGCAGAGCCGGGGCGATAGAAGGGTCAGCTCTTAAGTTTAATTGATTTACTTGAGGAAGTAAAGTGGGCTAGAGACGATTGAATGGAAAGCTGAGAGAGGCAAGGGAGGCAGAACAGGCTGGGAAGGAAGAGGACAAAGAAACTGAAGGCAGCAGAGGAGTGCCAAAGACTTCATTCCGTATCTTCCTCATTTGTTTCTTCTGTCCTCTCATAGTTCCTTGGCGTTTCTTTTGTATTTTAATATTTAAAAGCTACTTGTTTTCCCCTGATTGCCAGTCTGTACTTTGCTCTTCAGACTACATTCTAGAAGGAAATAATTGGGACATTTCAGTCTAAATGTATAGAAATTGGTGATAATATTTTTTTTTTTTGAGGACTCACCTGAAACATAAGAAGTTTGGAGTCAATTTTAGATTATTCCAAATTTGAGGGCAGGGTCTTTACCTTTGTTTAGCTTGTAAGGTATCACGCAGAGTTACACATTATATAAATAATACCAACTGGAAGGTCGTCAAAAAAGCTCTTCCACTTGGGCAGTTGTATGGTCTGTGCAGTAGCATATATAGTTTTATGGTGTATTTTTATAACATGTAGAAAGATTGGGAAGATGATTTATTGGTGAATAAGGAGGTCAGCAAGTGGCAGGAATACCCACAGATTTTCATAGTGTTACACTGAAAGAATGGATTCTCTTGAAATTCTTTTTTAAGGTGTTGATTCTGACATGTGGTAACAGACTAAACTCGCACAGTATTTCAAACCCTAGAAAGGAAACTTAATTTAGTATGTTGCAGTTTGAGTTTATATTGTAAAAGTGTATCTGTGAAACAGAGTAATTGAGCATGTAAATAATGAGCTGTTTAAATATACCAAGCCAGAAAGCTTTTAAAAGTTTTTAGATCCTGGCTTTTCTAATAAAATGCCAACAAATCTCGTTAGTTATGGCAAATGAGATCTTTTCCCTAGTTTGTCTTTTAGCCAGAAAAAAACCTATTGCTTATTGCATCATTGAGATTATCCTGAAATAAAAATGAATTTAAGAGATTTTCTTTATTTGGAAAAACATGAACTTGAATGTTACATTTCACACTTAAAGGGAAAATACTGAATAATAATATAAAGCACTTATAAAAAAGAATAGATGACATTCAGTGGAGTGGGCTTAGAGGACGGGATAGGACCTCAGTTTACTGGAAAAAACAAGGTTACAGTCGGTTATTATTTGGCTGAATTTACAAGGTAAAACTTGCCAAAAGAAGTTTAATGGCTTTTGCATAGGTGTAGGCAATTGATGCAAAAGGTGAAGAATTACAGGTGTTTCTGTACATGGAACAAAAGGATCAGGGGAGGGTGTTAGTATTATACTGTGGTGACTGATGCTGCACAGTGGCAAATGGATATTCTGATTGGAATTGCTTTCTTAATATGAGCCTGAACGTAAATTTATTGGTTCTTGGCATTGCAGGTCTATTGTTTTGGTTTCCATCGGTATATTAGCTCAATTACAGCGTTGTGACTTGCATATCCCAGTTATTGGTCCCGCTGAACCCCAAGGGAGGACAGTGATTTTAATTTCATGCCTCAGTGGCTGCAGTTAGTGACGGATGGGTCTTTCAGATAAGGGAATCGGTTTGTAAATTACCCGTTGCTACCTCCTGACCACGTGTCCCTGGCAATGTGTGTAGGAATGGCATCAGCCTCTACCCACAACCCCTGTAGCTTCTCCCTCCTCCCCTCGGGAAGCGGAGGCAGGAAAACCCTGAAATGCCACCAGCAACCTTCAGACAAGCGTGTTGTCATTGGGAGCTGCTAAGGAGATGGCACGCCTCGTTCCAAGGCACATGGAAGCGGCAGGCAGTGCTTGGCTATATAACCCTGTGGTTTCCAGATAGTGTCCTTGGGACACACTGTCAACACGACGTCTGTAGGGATGTCCGGGCTGTCCTGCGCGAGAAGGAGACAAGAAGAGGCAGTTTTACTGAGGAGCTTGGAAGAGCAGCGCTGTGCAGAGATGATGGCTGAGTGGCTGTTACAAGTTGTGTTTGATTTTTGTAATCCTTTTTTTTTCCTTTTGCTTTTCTGTATCATCTGGCAGTCATGGTCTAGCTTTTCATTTCCAAAACAGACACCTGATTAAATTAGCTACATTTTTAAATTATTTTGCCTAAATTGTCATAGATGAGAAAAGGAGAAAACAAAAGGACTTGATTTTAAAGAATAACTTTGCTTTAACAGTATAAATGGCTGCAAAATGATGAATTATATATATATTTTTTGCATAATATAACTCGTGGGGGGAAGGACTTTCCAATTACATGGCTCATATTTCAAATAATACAAAGTTGTTGATGTTTTATTTATTCATTTCAACACAGCTAACCCCTGGTGATCTGGAATGGCTTTTCAAATATGAAAGGATTAATTTCATTCTAGAATTCATATTTTAACTTACAAGTTTGCATAATGCATTGGGGGATACAGAGTGAATGCTGACCATCTTCATTATGATTATTTTCTATTTTAGAATTAGAAAATACCTCTTAGTTAGAAACAAATCACAACTTATTTCAGTGCTTTCAAAATAACCTTCTTTTAAAGGCTCTATAGCCAGGAAGCATCTCTGGTATTGTTTTTAGATAATGAACTAGCGGGTACATTGTTTTCTTCAAGGTTAAAATTCTAGCCCTAGCTTATCAGTGCTGAAGTAGACAATCAGCATTTCTTCTTCTGACCTGTGTCAAAATGAGAAATAATGAACTTTTAAATTTTTTTTTTGTAACTAAATATCAGGGATATACTATGTAAAATGCTGCTTGTATGTTTCTAGCTCTGAATTTCTGCTCCTCTGTGTTTTTATTGTTCTTTTAGGTGATTATCGGTGTGGTTTGTCTTCTCACCGATATATGTCTTTTTTCTAGATGGTGCTAATGAACAGTGCTTAAATGAACCTTTTAGTATATTGCTGCTTGTATCCTTGTTGATAAAGTATCATTCCTGTAGGTAGCTGGCTCATTGCCAACATAAGCTCACTGGTTAAGTTCTGGACTTTGTATTTGTGGCTCTGCTAAAGCCTAATTTTTAGACCTTGGGGAAGAAATAGCTATATTTTGTTTCAGACTTTTTACATGCCATTGGAACCATATTTTATCACCCTGCAATGAAATACTATTTTATTTGTGCTTAAGGACTTGTAACCATTGTGTGCTTGAGCAAAATAAGAGTAATTTGGGGAGCTTGTTCAAATTTGTCTTTGGGATTTCTTTTTTTTTTTAATAATTGCTTTATTTATTGTTCATTGTTCCAAAAAGACACCCCCTCACACACACCCCCCCCCTTGAAACTAAACCTTGAATTTATACTGAAATATGGTAAAGTAATGGGAGTGGACAAGAACAAATTCTCTGAATTAAGTTTCTGTATGCTCTTTGCTTTGCTTGTCTATTTGGTCCTACATGGCATATAGTACAATACCGTAGTTGTTCAGTAGGATTTCTAAAATTAAATGAAGAGAAACTAAAGTTTAGCTTTTCTTGATGATGAACAGAAGTAGTTCAAATTCTAGCTGAAAGTAAAGCCTAGAAATATGTGTGGCTGTTAGTAATTATCTAGACAACAGTATTGTGTGGAGGGTGAAATTGAAAACGTCAGTATTCCGCTTTTCATTTTTAAAAATAAAATAAAAACACATCGTGTCTAATATAACTGATAGGTGATATAATGCAAATAGAGCCTTTGAAATATCTCTTGCATGATAAAAGGAGTCAGTTGTAATGGAAAAGCTGTATGTAACTTGGCATCCTTGAATGAGCTGAGATCATTGCCTGCCCTGACTCAGTCATGCCTTTGCTGCCAAATTACGGTTACTGAGCTGGTGATTGCTCTGTGTTCAGCATCTGACATACAAAAATGAAGAGTTAACTGCTAGGACCATAATGTGATGTTCTGCTCTCCACAGGCCCACGAGCGATCCGAGAGCTCCGAGGTTGCCTTTGTTACCCAACTTGTAAAGAAACTGATGATTATCATTGCGCGACCAGCTCGGCTGCTTGAGTGCCTGGTAAGTTTGGTCCTCAGGAGAGTGCATGTGTGATCTGAAGAATCCGGTGTGTGTTTGAGGAGATAAGGAACACAAAGCCTTCAAGAGAAAGCTTTAAATTCTCATTAAAACATTGATGAAAAATAAATAAATATTTTTTAAAAAGAGTACTTAATGTCTTTTGCATGAACAGAGAAGTATCTTTCCAATGGATTGTCAGCTGTTAACAGCAGCTAAATTATGTTTTAGTATAAAGTTTGTGGCTGAGGGGCCAGATGTAGCTGTTGACATAATTTCATGCTACTGGATGCTACCTGATTTTGCTTGTGTGGTTAGTAGCTACAGTGAAGAGCCTGTAAGTGTATGGTGTGTGTACGGTGCCCAGAGAGCATGCTAAGAAAGAACTGCTGCTAAGGAAAAAATTCCCTTCCATGGCATAAATCGCATTTGGGCTCTTGGACTCAAACACTTACTGTAGACCCAGCAGTTACAGAGAAACCTGGTGTGAGGTTTTCCAGCTGTGAACAGACAGAGGGATAGGCTAGGGAGAGGTCCAACAGATTTGGAAGCCTGGGTTTGAAATCCTATTTGGTGCTATTGGAATACATGGAAAAGCAAGACTCTCATTGCTTTTTTAAGAACTTACTCTGGCTGATAGGAATGTATTTTTTAATTTTATGCTAGAAAGTGGTGAAAAGTGTTTAGGCAATGCCAGTGAAATAGGCCACTATGTCCTGAAGTCCTGCGACTCCAAAAATATTTTATATGTACAGTGGAGAAGTAGCCTAAACATGGTGTTCTTACTGTGATGCCATGGCAAGAGGATTAATACAAACCTTGAATATATATGGAAAGAGGAGATCAGGCCTCTGGTGTACACAGTGTTGTGGTCGTTATTGGTTATAGGAGTCAGTTCTGTGACTGTATTTCAAAGAGATGTTGAAAAATTGATGAAGGTGTGGAGAAGAGTCACAAAAAGTTGTTGGAGCGCTGGAGAAGGTGTCACAAACCTACAATGGAAACTTAGGAAATTCATGACAGCATGAAATTCCCTGGTATGTCGAAGCACACAATCTGATGCTTCTTTCTGGACATAAAAAGGCAGGGAAGCTACATCTGTTTGAGACATTAGAGAAGTTGGCTAAATTAGGAATCTGTGGCTGGATATAGATGTACAGTTAACATTTGAAGCATGTTGAGGGCAGTGTGTCCATGGGCGACATTTATCACTAGAAGATAAATGAGTTTTGCGGAGCTTTCTTTGACAAAATAGACAAGAGTGGTCCAATCTTTCAAATTTTTGAAAACACCTGCAGGAGTACTGAGAACCAGGAGACTTTGGAGGATTCCCTTATTCCTCTTCCGTGACTGTTGGATTGCTTTGCTGTGAACCCTGTAATGTAAGGAAGACCACTGTCAGTGATGAAGTAGGCTGCACAACCAGCAAGATGTGTTATGGGTTTGCATGGCAAGGTTTTGTTAGCGGGGGGATATAGAGGTGGCTTCTGTGAGAATCTGCGAGAAGCTTCCCTCATATCTGATAAAGCCAGTGCCAGCCAGCTCTGAGACGGACCCACCGCTGGCCAAGGCTAAGCCAGTCAGCGATGGTGGTAGCACCTCTGTGATAACATATTTAAGAAGGGGAAAAAAAACCTGTGGTGAAACAGCAGTCGATAGAGAGGAGGGAGACTGTGTGAACGAAACAACTCTGAAGAAGGAGGGGGAGGAGGTGCCCCAGATGCTGGAGCGGAGACTTTTCCTCTGGAGCCTATGATCAAGACCATGGTGAGGCAGGCTGTCCCCTGCAGCCCATGGAGGTCCATGGTGGAGCAGATACCCACCTGCAGCCTGTGGAAGACCTCATGCCGGAGCAGGTGGATGCCTGAAGGAGACTGTGACCCTGTGGCAAGCCTGTGCTGGAGCAGACTCCTGTCAGGACCTGTCGACCCTTGGAGAGTGAGAAGTCCATGCTGGAGCAGGTTTGGTGGCAGGGCCTGTGACCCCCTGGGGGGCCCATGCTGGAGCAGCCTGTTCCTGAAGGACTGCACCCCGTGGAAGGGACCCCATGCTTACTTATTCAAGAAGTCTCCACTAGATGACAGTGAAAATCCTGGGCACAACTCCATTCAGACTGGGAATTCTTTGGCTTTCAAAACCATTTTTGTGATTTAGATGAGTTTGGTGACTCCACAGAATCACAGAATCACAGAATAGTAGGGGTTGGAAGGCACCTCTGTGGGTCATCTAGTCCAACCCTCCTGCCGAAGCAGGATCACCTACAGCAAGCTAGCAGGCTGCACAGGACGTTGTCCAGGTGGGTCTTGAATATCTCCAGAGAAGGAGACTCCACTACCTCCCTGGGCAGCCTGTTCCAGTGCTCTGTCACCCTCAGAGGGAAGAAGTTCTTCCTCATGTTCAGACGGAACTTCCTGTGCCTCAGTTTGTGCCCATTGCCCCTTGTCCTGTCACTGGGCACCACTGAAAAGAGCTTGGCCCCATCCTCCTGACACCCACCCTTCAGATATTTGTAAGCATATTTGACTCCAGTTATCTTCCAGCATTCCTTGAAAATCTTTTTTTGGAAGTGAAGACAATGAAGAAATGAAATAAATTTAAACTCAAGTGTGTTTGTATTTGCTGCGTTCACCATTGCCATTTATATTTGCGTACGCTCTACTAGTAACGCATCATCTAGGAAAACATGAAATCTCAGTAAATTTTGTGAATCTGTCTCTATACCTGTAAGCAGTTCCAAATTCAAGTCAGCTTTTAGCTGCAAATCAGTAGGTCTCCAGGTTCCTCCGCTGTCTTCTGCACCTGATGCTCTGCAAAGTGACTGGGAGCAGGTGGAAGCAGTAAAGTCGTTGAGATTTGAGTAATGAACTCCAAAGCATGTAGTGACAACCTTGACAATGAAGTGGCTAGACTTCAAAGTATAAAACTAATATTTGGATCTGTATGTTAGTCTTCCCTGTTTTGTTAATCTGTATTGTCTTTCTAGGCTTTTTTTCCCAAATATGTATTTTGTTCTGCTGACATGAAGAATTAAGTATTAATGTTCCTTTTATCCCATAAAATGACAAGAAACATAGTAATAGATAGTCAACCATTTACATAGCTTGAGAACTACATTTAATTTTATTTTTTAACATACTTTTTTTTGCAATTTAAACTTTACCTTCAATTGTTTGTGAATTGATAAACAGTTTTTCTAAGGTTTAATATTAAGTTTAGCTTTAGTAACACAGCTCATTCTCATTTCTTCCTTGTAAATGAAATTACTGACCATATTGGCAGTGGTTGTGATGGTTGTGATGATTGTTTTAATAGGGAGGAAGGTATTTAAATATTTTAGCCTTCATTTATTTGACTTCAGTCTTTGTCTTACCTGTTGGACTGTGAAATGTTTACTTACAGACTGAGTCTCTTGGGCTTCAAGAAAATAATAATGTGTTTTGTGCATCACTGAAACAATCTTTTGGTAAAAAGTTTGTAATTTATTCTTTTTTCAGATGATTTTTCCATAGAATTTGCCTCTGCTTAGTAGGGATCATTATTCTCCATTTAAGTAAAACTGTATTCGGATGATTAAATAAATCTACTAAAAAGAAGACAGAATTGGAATTTGTTTACTTTCTTAATTTTTTGTATGTTTAAATTTCTTGTCACCAGACTTTTTTTCTTCTGTCCTTCACTCACCAATAAATGACCTAGAGTTGTATCTTGAAGAGTCCTTCCTTGACCCCACCTTCCCTTTCAGTATCACAGAATCACAGAATGGTAGGAGTTGGAAGGGACCTCTGTGGATCATCTAGTCCAACCCGCCTGCCGAAGCAGGGTCACCTACAGCAGGCTGCACAGGACCTTGTCGAGGCGGGTCTTGAATATCTCCAGAGAAGGAGACTCCACAACCTCCCTGGGCAGCCTGTTCCAGTGCTCCGTCACCCTCAGAGGGAAGAAGTTCTTCCTCATGTCCAGCTGGAACTTCCTGTGCTTCAGTTTTTGCTTCAGTGTTGCTCCTTGTCCTGTCAGTGGGCACCACTGAAAAGAGTCTAGCTTCATCCTCCTGACACCCACCCTTCAGATATTTACAGGCATTTGTAAGGTCCCTTCTCAGCCTTCTCTTCTTCAGGCTGAACAAGCCCAGCTCCCTCAGCCTTTCCTCGCAGGAGAGATGCTCCAGTCCCCTCACCATCTTTGTAACCCTCCGCTGGACTCTAGTTCCTCATCTTTCTTGAAGTGGGGAGGCCAGAACTGGACGCAGTACTCCAGATGCGTGGTATTCCAGTAGTGCAGTACTGGGGACCATCCCTCTCCCGTGGTCCTCTCTGGTCTGGCTCCTGCTCTCTGCCAAGTCTGAGGTAGTTTATGAATCCTTTTCCAGAGGAGTTAGGAATACTTTCTTGCGTTGTTGCTGTCATTGGTGACAGCGTGTATCTAAGGAGCATTGCTTAAAGCAGTCAAGAGAAAGGTGCATCTTTGCTCTGTTTCTCTAACCGTTCAGATTTTTACATCATATTTGTTTTTCGTGTTTGTGGTTCTGTGCTCTTTTTTCTTATGCTGCTGAGCACACTCATGTAAGCTTTTCTGATGCCCTCACAGCAGTGTGCTGTAACTCTTCCCATTTTATCCTCCCATTTCACTAGAAAATTTTTGAAGAGTCTTGGCAAAGCTGCTCATTGCTGGTGAGTGATGAGATTTGTATGGGAGAGTTAAAGTTGGCTGGTGAACTTGCTTCTAAGCTGGGTGCTTCTGTCGCCAGAAGCTTGTCTTTTATTCCCAACTCTGTCTGTTAGTCTAGTAAAAGAGATCGCACCTTCTTATAACCTGTTCTTGCCTTAGAAATCATGTACACCGACTGAATTGATGAGATGATCCTGTACTCTATAGTACAAGAAATACCACAGGAGCATTTCTTATATAGCAAGTGATGTCTTCTCTGCTGATAAAATAGCAATTGCTGTTTTATTAATAATTTTATTAGCAATTCCTAAGGTCAGAATGGAGTGGGTGTGTGGTTTAATCAGAAGTGACATTTGAAAGCAGGAGAGATTTATATTGGCTTAACTCACCTCTCAGACGGAGGTGGCAGAAGGCAGCACCTCAGTCCACATCTCAATTGGGAGGTGTGTCCACATTGATGCTTACCTTGTCGTGACCGTATTATCCGACATAATATTATCTGTCATAGTCTGGTTTGGGTTCATCAAAAGTCCCTACAGTCCCTGTCCTGTTCTGATGTGCAGATCCAAGCCAGCGGACATCCAGCAGGCTGGCATTTTTGCAGAGCAGAGTGGAATGCGTTGACATGCTTTTTGTAACTGCAAATGTGTTGCATCACTGCTGAGCCCAGAATTAACTTTGGATGCTTCTGAGGAATCTCCTGTGTGTGGGAGAAACCTTTCATAATTGTAAAGCTGAATCATTTACCTGTTTCTGTCTCTCTCACCACCTTGCTCTAGGAGTTTGATCCTGAAGAGTTCTACCATTTGTTAGAAGCTGCGGAAGGCCATGCCAAGGAAGGGCAAGGAATTAAATGTGACATTCCTCGTTATATCATCAGCCAGCTGGGGCTCACCAGGGATCCCCTGGAGGGTGAGAACTCTTATTTTGTACTCTCCAAACTGCTGAAAGGAAAACCAGATCTCCTGGTCACTGCATAGCTGAATGAGGCTTTAATTTTATTGGTTTAATTTCTAGGCCATTTTTCCTTATTTTCCTGTTTGCTGTCAAATTCTAGACTGTCCTTTCCAGCCACATGTCTCAAAGGAGTGTTGCTGGGCTAAGGATCGCACATCAACAGTGACAGTTCTTTACTTATGATGTTAATAATGTCTCCCTGTGTCATAGCTGAAACAATATTAGAAAATGGCTTTATGATTTAACTGTTTCCTCTGTCCTGTTGGACAGTGAAAGTAAATTCACCCATTGTTTTTCTGATCTGCCTGCCTGCTGGTGGCCTGGCTGGAAGGTATCCTGTTGTCCCACTTTGCTGGCCTCTCTGGGAAGAGTTTATGTGTTGTGATTTTCCATAAGAAAGCAGGACTAGTATGAATTTTTAAGTGGAGATGAGATTATATTTTTACATCTTGCATAGCATCAAAACCAAAGAGAGTAATGCTTCATGAGACAGTAACAGCTTTTCTGCTAGGTGCCAGAATTGCATATGGTAAACTGAATATGCTGTAAACGTACAGAGGCCCAGAACTTTGGAATTTGTGAGTTAAGATTTCTGCCTGGCACTTTGCTAGCTGAATCTCATCTCCTGTGACAAGTTTTACAAGCATGCACGGCTTGCTCAGCAACAATAGAAAGTGTGACAGAGACTGGAGGTTACTGCAGAATATTTCAGCAATTGAACCGTACTTTTTATTTTCTCAGGAGAGCATAATTTTAGCATAAATTAGTAGTCTGGATAGGACTAGTTTAACTTCTGCGGTGTTTACCGGAATGACAGTGACAGGTTGACTTCAAGTGAAGAGCTCTTCGGGAAAAATTCTACCAAAGATTGCTAAATGCAATTTAATAGCATTTGTTGAAATCTGACATTAAAGGGAAATTTCCTTTGATCCCTGTCATGGGAGAGAACCTTTCCATCACTAATTCCCCTTACTAAAGTCAAATTTTCTTTAGAAATGTGTGGAGATGTCAAGGTGCCTTATTTCCTTTCTATAAGGAGGGCACCCAGAAATGTCAGTGATGTCTGTGCAGACACTAGTAGTTAACCTAGGATTTGGTTTTGCAAAGTTTATAGCATCTCCTAAGACAGCTGAGTAGCCTAAATGAATGGACTTCCTTGCAGTTTGCTGCTGCTGCTGCTCAGTGTTTTGCAGAATCAGACACATTTCATGGAGGGAGGTTGTTTGAAATGTAACGTAATGCTTTTTCTTTTCTGGGGTACAAAGGTGCCACCAGGCTATATGCAGACATATATGCATGGAATAGGTTTTAATATTAACTAGCTAATGGTTTCCTCAAACTTGCATTTATTACTTTTACTTATTATAGAAGCCATTTAGAATAAGTCAGGCTGAAATTAGAACAATTAATTATATTCATCTCTATATGGAATATTGCCTACAGCTTAAAGAATGTTAAAGGTTATCGCTGTATAATTGGGGTGACTTTTTACAGAGGGGAAAAATGTCCTTTGTCATCTACAAGCACCTTTTAAAATCCTGTTTGTCTTGTATAAACAAAGAGAGTAGTGTTTGATTGAGATCATTAGGAGTAATCTTTCCTCTTTCTTTTCAGAAATGGCCCAGCTGAATAGCTATGACAGCCCAGACACTCCTGAGACAGATGATTCAGTCGAGGTAAAGCAATAATACATTCACTCTGTCTAGCACTTTTTTTTTTTTCTGGAGAGAAGTAGTCTACAGTAAAGAATTAATTATAATGCAGAGTAATTTTAATTAAAAAAAAAAAGAATGCTTGCATTTAAAAGCACATGTTAAAACTAGAGTATACACTCATAAAATTGTGGCGATCTATACTGTGGTGCTGAAATGCTTAAAAGTTGCAAACATGCATTTTCATCAAATTTTGCTGATTTTCTTTCTCAAGTTGCAAACAAAAATTATCTGGAGAAGTTCTTTATTATCTGTGTTTGTAAAATGTGATGGGTATTGAGGAGAGCTGGCTTTAGTAACAGACCGTTAGAAAAATTTAATTGTAACTCACTAGGTTTCAAAAATGCTTAGTCGTTTAGTTTATTGGTATTTTAAAATGCAATGCTGGGGAAAGGCCTGAATCTTATAGTTCACTGATTGTGCTAATAATTGTGGAAGGGGTCTGCGAGGGTCCTAGTGTTGTCACGCTGGCTTGGGCATCATTTGAAAGACAGACGATTATCCTAAAGCTGAGGACTCCCATGGTTTAGAAGTTGTTTGAGCTTGGGTGAATGCTGCTTGAAGAAGAAAAGGAAAAAAAAGTGACGTGCAGAATGAAGTCATTGCTGCTCCGGGTTTCTGTTTTTTTGTCTTCTTTCGCCAGAGCCGTGGGGCCTCTGTCCAGTCAAAGAAAACTCCATCTGAAGAAGAGTTTGAAACTATTAAACTGATCAGTAATGGTGCTTATGGGTAAGGCTTTTAGACTTTGCTTTAGAAGAAAATACTATGATTGTCCTGCCCAGAGAAGGGCTATAGCAAAGTTTTGCAACTGACTGGTTTTTGTGGGTCCAAAGTATAGATTAATTTTGCTTGGGCCTTACAGAGGTTCCACACTTATGGTGTCCTCTGCATTCTTCTGGGAGATGCTTTTTCTCACACATTCTTGGGATTTCTTAGACAGTAACCCCTGTACCTGGACCTAGTTCTGGATGTGAAGTCCTTAAATTGTGCTGAACTGATACACAACTTCCAGCTCAGGCAGATTAGTTGCCCTACATTAAAGCTTCCAGAATATGATATTCCTAATCCCTCTGAGGCGCAAGTTTTCTGAAGCCCTTCCTAGTTGTGACCTCGAGCCTGTTTTTCCAGTAACTATTTCTGCACTATTATTTGTGGTAGGTAGGTAGAATATAGGCATTTCAGTACCTTAGCTTGAGATGACAAAACCATTTTCCGTAAGCATTGTCTCTAGGGAAAATATTGCCACTTAGTTTTTTGTGAGATTTCCTAAGTAATAGTAAAAAAATGCTCAGACTCAGTTCCATGAGTCTGAGAAAATTATTTTGCACCCATTTCCTTATTGCTTAGCAAGGCAGTCTGTATTTCCTTTCATGCTGTATGGTTAAGTCCTGTGATTTGTGTTTGTTTAAAGGCTAAATGAGTGAGGGTAAAATTCTGTAGTTGCAAATGTTATTGACAATTCATTGAAACAGCAAGAATATTGAGGGAGAAGCAGTTTATGCTTTTCCATTCTTCCATGTATTCAGGTTATATACATAACATATGTGTCTGTTTGTCAGCACTTGAAATACTAAAATAAATGCTAAAATTACACTGGGGCAAATCTACTGTGAGAAGCAATACAGTAAAAACGCTATTAGATTTTATTATCCATTGAAGAATCCAGAATGAAGTTGGTTGGTTAAAATTTTAACCGCTCATACAAACCTTTCCAGAATTTTAAAGGCGGTTTCTGACTCTTTGGAGTTCGTAAATCCTTACTGGTGATAGTCATTAGGTTGTAACTGAAAAGCAGTGAACTTCAGTAGATCATAACAGCACAAAACCTGAGCATGTGCTGGAGCGTTTTGTTGAAGTGGGTGCTTAGTTAACAGCAACTCAAAAATTGTATATGGAAAAAGAGTAAGCATATTGTTTTTAATCAGTGAAGATGCAACGGAGCAGGTCGAAGAGGCACATTTTTAGACAAGAAGATTTTATACATTTTTCAGTCATGTTTTTGCACAGGCCCCATGATTTAAGTGTAACTTTGTAAAGGAGGGAGAGAGGTGGTAATTTTTCTGTTACTCGTATCTGTCTTTATACTGGGTGTATTTTATAGTCAGCTGCTGGTGAGACACAATACCATATTAAATGTAATATACTCCAGAGAAAAGGAAACAAGTGCTGATTCAATAAGGCAGGCAAACTGGATGAAAATTTTATTTGCAAACTGTCTTATTAATGTGCAGGAATCTAATGATCTGCAAATGATAGAAATGTAAGAGATACTTTACTGAAGGAAATCCCTGGTGACAGTGTTGCATCAAATTAATTTTATGGAGCTTGGAAAGAAACTATGCGGATTCCATATGTTTTGGACAATTTTTTAAGTGTAATGGTTACTGTAGTGTTGAAAAATACACGCCCCTCTGCAATGATGCTTAAGGAAGTTTGTGACATTTATGTCTGAAACATCTCCTTGTTAGTCGCATCAGCGAAAACGCGGCTTAATTCAAGAAGGCAGAGTAGCTTTTGGAAGGAAGCATCATGGGGTTCCTGCTTTTCTAGGGGAGCTTGGCACTGAGATGAGATTTTGTGGAGTCACAGATAAGTCTGTCAGGATCCATCCAAAACAGTTACCATTACTGTTTTAAAAAACAAAAACAAAAACAAAAAACCCACCAAAACAACAAAAAAACCCCACTTTGAACTGAAAATGCAACATTTGCTCTTGATGTGTGGTTTTCTAGAGCGGTGTATTTGGTGCGGCACAAGACCACCCGTCAGCGTTTTGCCATGAAGAAGATCAACAAGCAGAACCTAATTTTGAGAAACCAGATCCAGCAGGCGTTTGTGGAGAGAGATATCTTGACGTTTGCTGAGAACCCCTTTGTGGTCAGCATGTTCTGCTCCTTTGAGACCAAGCGCCACCTGTGCATGGTTATGGAGTATGTGGAAGGTATGGTTGTCGTTATCCACACCTGGAAAGGGACCTTAGGGAAGATGGGCATGTAGGGTGTATGCGGTGTGATTTGTAATGTGTGCTTTTGGGTGTAAGACTGCTCAGCGCGCTGCTCTGAGCACAGTAAACGGGAAGGCCGTCTCACGGGTGTGTTGGTCCTTTCTTCGCGGGGAGTGAGCTCAGTCAGCCCTGCAGTCGCAAGGGAGGTCGCGATGCCCTGTGAGGGAGCAGTGTATGGACTGCTTGGACTGAGCCGGAGAAATGAATCGTTCTACCGCTAGTACAGTTTAGCGTAAGGAGATACTCCGTTTTTGAATCCCTGTGACTAATGTAACGTGATTACAGTGGAGCTGAGGAAACATAAAGCCACATGTAGCAAACTGCTGGGGTCAGAATTCAGCATGAGCATTCCAGTCCTCACTGGAAAGAAATCCTCCTGCTCTCCTGTGGGATGGCATGGCTAGATCCATAGCATGTTTGCTTGTCAAGAAAAAGACAGTTGAGAAACATCACCAAACAATGCAGTCTTTGTTCTTTAGCAGCTTTTTTAAAAATACAGTGCTATTTTGTACTTTTCTTTGTTTGTTTGTTTTGCTTATTCTTTGGAATATTATTTGATTTTATTTTATCACTGTATCTTTTTGTAAGCAATATATTTCCACTGGTGTATAGGATTAATTTCTTATGCCTGGCTTGCTTGGCTGAATATTTGTGAGAAATAAGCTTAGAGTTATTGTGTCAGTTCTCTTTCAGATAAATTAGTGGAATGAAAACAGATGTATCAACATAACAAATTTTAATATTAATTCCTATTTGTAAGTAGAGATGAAGGTCGAATGAAATGTGTGGCCAGTGTTCCTTAAGAAGCTTGAATCTAGGGTCCACAGACTTATTTTCATGAGTACTGCAGTGTCCGAAGGTATGGCTGCCTCTCCATGTGCAAGCAGAGCAAGTTAGTAGTTGTAGAGGTGTTCACTTACTATTTCAAGAAGCTTGTATATCAGAAGTAGTATGTGTCTCAGTGGTGGAAAGCAAAGAAATTTATAGAGGCCAAACAGTCATGAACTGCCATTTCTTCAAGGCTTGCTTATGGTTTGGAAATGGCATCTATACAGTTCTAGAGCAAGCATGCCCAGCATACATGGATCTCATTTTTCCTCAGATTTTAATATTTGTTTGAAGCTCAAGACAGAGTGTAGAGAGAGCTTTAGAATTCAGGCTAACAAGGTTGAGAGAGACAGCCTTTAGGAAATGTGCTCTAATCTAGTATTGTAGACCCGTAGCTGTTCTTTCTTACTGATATTTGCCATTTCACTGTGCCATATTGTAACTTTTTTTCTAGGAGGCGATTGTGCTACACTTCTCAAGAACATTGGTGCCCTACCTGTTGATATGGCGAGAATGTATTTTGCCGAGACTGTTCTGGCATTGGAGTACCTACACAATTATGGGATTGTTCATCGCGACCTAAAACCTGATAAGTAAGTCTTCAGCTCTGCAGAAGATGGAGGGAGAGAGCCAGTTCTTCAGGGCCTTTCTCTATAGGCAAGAGGACATGGAGGCTAGAGACAATAGAGATCTTCAATGGCATCCGACATGTAGGAGACTTTATGGAGTCTCTTGTTGCTGATGTAGAACCAGAGAGACACTGAGAAAGGGTGGGAACATATTATCTCAAAGCTGTTGCTACACTGGTGAAATTATGGCAGAAGGTAGTCTGGTTTCTAATTGCCTTGGCTGCTCTGTGATACTCAGTTGCATAGGAGGTTCCTTCCAGGTGTTTGATGGGGACATAACACTGAGAACTTGCTTAGAATTATCTTGCAGTGTTCATTTTTTTAAATTGCTTTTGGGTAACAATTAAATGAATGTTGGATTATTTTGCTGCTTCTCTTTCCTCTAGTCTCCTGATAACTTCCATGGGTCACATTAAACTAACAGACTTTGGACTGTCTAAAATTGGGTTAATGAGTCTTACAACCAATCTTTACGAGGGACACATTGAGAAGGATACCAGGGAATTCCTGGACAAGCAGGTAAGTTGAAAAATTTTGTCTGTCGATGTGGGATCAGATGCAGGATTCCATCTTGGGACAGAATCAGCGTTTGTAGCACTCTCTCTCTTCCTTGACGCTGTGCTGTGAGTTGTAGAACGGCAGGAAAAGATACAAGTCCATTCTCATGTTTGCACATAAATTGGTATTGTTTGTTGTTTCTTGTTTTGGAGTGATGCACTTCAGCTCTTAGTTTAGGATATTGAAAGTGTGGCCCAGACAGTGGTGCAGGTATGAACAGAAGTTGGTTTAGGGATGTAACACAGATTTTGCTGGAAGGTTGTTCCACGGTCTCCCCCTTCTGGTGCTTAGAAAGTTAATGGCAAGTTCCTATATGTTTCTCCTTCTAATTTTGTCTGATGGCTTAATGATCGATTTTTGTCCCCCTGATATTTACTAAGGGTCATATGTCTCCTTAGCCTTCATTTTGCTAGGTTTGACCAGTTAAGTTCTTCTAGGTAAGAGGACAAATTTTCCTTTGAGTGAATATCTCTTCCATGCGCCTCTTTCAGCTTCAGTTGATATTTCCTGAGCTTAGTTGACAGGAACTATACTGTTCTGGGTGCAGGCTCACCTGTGCCTTGTATAATGGGATTAAAAAATACTTCTGTCTCCTGAAAATACCTAGGATCACAGCTGAATTTTCTTTTTTAGGTGTGCCAAGTGTAAATTCATAATCATCCTGTGATATTCTCTTCCTTTGCTTCAAGCAACGATGTTTTTTCTAGCAGGAACTCTCTTTGGTCACTAGATCGTGGTCTTGCACTTGGCAGCATTACGTTTTTTGTAACTATTTTGTTGTTGCTGCTGCTTCTAAGCCCGAGGCAGCTTAGATCTTCCAACATGATTTCTTTAGCCATTGTCTGTGCCAGCTGTACCTCCCAGGTTTAAATGCTAAAGTGTGTGATCATGCTGTGCTGCTAATTCTGCGTCTGTGAAGCTAAATTCTGCTAGCATGGAGATGTGAGTGGTTTGTCACAACTCTGTTCCTGGTAGCTATAGCTGTGCCAGTAGACATCTGTCAAGCAGACCGACCTATACACACAGAATGTGCTTTTTTCCCATATGCTTTACTATATACTCACCAAAGAACTACTTAGCTGGCACATCCACACTAGGAACATTTTGTAAGATGTGATATAATTTCTGTGCAGGCAGTGTGTGCCTCATGTATGGGCTCTTGCTCTGTGGAAGTAGTTCACAGCATGAAGTGGTTAGTGACAAAACATTAATAACTTCCTTGTAAAGGTCCGAGGTGGAAGAGAAAAAAAGAAAAGACAAAAATAAGCTTTGATGTGAATTTGGCAATTTGTAGATTCGTTGCTTTCTTATGTGTTTCTCTTGAGGTCTGTGGGACTCCGGAATACATTGCACCAGAAGTGATCCTGCGCCAGGGCTATGGGAAGCCTGTGGACTGGTGGGCCATGGGAGTCATCCTGTACGAGTTTCTGGTGGGCTGCGTGCCTTTCTTTGGGGACACACCTGAAGAGCTGTTTGGACAAGTGATCAGTGGTATGTTTCTCTCCTGGTTCTGAAGGGGTTTCGAGGTGTGCTGTGAAGTAAAACCTTGAAAATATTGAGGATCCACAGTTTGGTCAGGAAAAAATAGGTGTAAAATAACGGAGTTTAATTTTACAATATTAATCTTTCTGTGTCAAAGTAGCATCCATCTCATTCCAGCTATCGAAAATTGTTGTGTTGCTTAACATCTCACTGGATAGTTCTGTCATTGTGCATGGTGTGGGAGTCATGCAAATCCTAGTGAGATTGGGGAAAATTATTTGGGGATTTTTCTGTTCTGTATTTTAAATAAAATGATGGAGAATATGAAAGGAGCAGCCTCCAACTGGTCTAATTCAGTCTGATTTTGGTTATTGCTTCTGTAGGTGCAAATGTCAGTCGATTAGTAATTGTTGTATAAATGAAATAAAAAAGAAATTCTAAGCAAGACACATTGAAGCTGTTGTACTCGGTACTTTCATGTCTTGTGGCTTTTTAACCCTCTCTTCTGCTTGGAGTTGGACAAACAATTGCTTTGTGTTCTATCAGGGAATAAGCCAGTGAAAACATTTCCTGTTGGGAATGCTTTCTGAAACAGTAAATTTTTAACACACTTGGCAAATGTCCTTGTAAAAAGCGAATTTTTTAGTTCAAAGAACTAAATATGATGCATGAAATTGTTACCTGTGAATTGTTCTCTCTGTTCCAAGTGTAACAAGCGTGGAATGTGCAGGCACGAGATACAGCTGCAGTATTGTCAGTGTCATTGTTTATGGATTGTCGTGGAAGTCCCATTTCATACTTTATTAATGGAGTTCTTAATGCTGTTTTTTCTCCACAAGCACTGCTTGGATTGACAGCAGCTTTAGCTGACGATGAATTTTATGCATTTTGAAAAATGTCAATGCTTGAATTATATTAAATATGCAAGCTGCTGAATTCGAGGTGTTTACAGTTCTGAGGCAGTACTGAACACTACATTTTACAGTATAGGAATGTAAATGGCTATTCAAATTGGTCATAAAACTGGTAGAAAATGTGAAGTCTCTTTTTGTCCTCAGATGAAATTGCCTGGCCAGAAGGTGATGATGCACTGCCACCAGATGCCCAGGACCTAATTTCTAAGCTTCTCCGTCAAAATCCTCTGGAAAGAATGGGAACAGGTAGGAACCTTCTGCATAGGAAAGTACTGGCCAGAAGCAGGAAAACATCCCCACCCATGTGGAAAAATGCTCCTCTAGAGCTGGGAAACAGTTTATACTGGATTCAATGAATCCTGTGTGATGAAGCTCTGAGAATTAGCGTAGATCGTACATGAGTCAGATATGGCTGTCTTGTTTGGGAAACAGTAAAGGAGCATTGTCAGCCTGGCAACATAACTTCTCAAATTTGTGCTGTTCCATTAAAGGCTCGAGGGCTGTGTATCCACTTGAACAGTGAATAATCAGATTTCTTTGAAGTTCTCTTTGACCAGAGGCTTAATCCCCTACATGGATGTGAACTCCTGGGTGTGATAAAATAAATGAAAACTTTCCCATTCCTAGAAGCCTGTACTGTAGAATTCTCCAAACATACAAGGAAGTCTCTTTGGCAAAGTCAGATGCGTATGTCAATCTTTCTGTATTACAGTGTCGGATTTAAAGTTTTACAAGTCAACACATCTCATTTCCTGATAGTAAATAACCATAAATAATCTCTAGCTATGCTCTTGTTTTAAAATCGTTTGTGCAACACTGCAGCTTCATGGCACAGGTTGTCTGACTCATTGATTTGATGTATTTCATTTAATTTAGGATTTTCAGTTGGAAGCTACACTTTAAGGGTAAAATAAAACCGAAATATATAACAGTTCCAAAAGGCACATGTATTCAGCAGGCTTAACACATGTGCACACAAGGGTGCTGAACGGATCATGAATTAATAATAATATCAGATGGTTTTCACATGTTCTTCTTTACTTCAAATCCATGTACTTGAAAGATGTTGCTTTCATGGAAAAGATGTCGAGTTTCTTGCCTTATAAAATGAGTTGATGGACTGATTTTTTTGATTTCTTATACACCTGTAATGCTGAGACTGCTGTTCCACTTGGCTTCTCGTAGTGCCACTGGCACTCAGGAAACCTTTTATCTCTTTTCCTCTGCTATTCTCTTTTTTAAAAAGACAGTAACATCTTTTATGAATATTAATTTCATTTGAAAAAAATGCACATACTAGTAGACAGATAATCCTTAGTTTCTCCTTCTGGGTGCCCAGGCTTCTGAGATTAATAACAAAAGATACTAATTTAGGAAGATATGTAAGCCCCTGCCTTGTTTTAAGCACATGGATGAGTTTATTCAAGAGAGTGGAGCCACTCACTCCCTAAGTACCTTTCTGAGTTTTCTCTCTTTATTTAGCAACAAACAAGATGGTATTTACAGTTTGGAAATTTTAAATTAAGATGTTGATTAGTTCTTAATCTTACAACTTGTTGGGGAATGTAACAGCAGATGCTGTCTTACAGCCAGTTTAGTCATGTGTTGTCATGAAACAGGAAGAGGAGGTGGGAAGGAGGAAATCTTGTTCAGATTTTATCGTGTATCGCCACTTTGGTAAAAGGGTAAGTTGTTTCTCAAAATTCCTGGAAAATGCGTCACTTAAATATACTTGGGTACATTCTTTCAGGCTCTTGATAGTTTTAGGGTTTGGTTTTCTTATGCAAATGCTGAAAGCAATACTCTGCAATGAAAGATGCTTTTTTCAGGTAGTGCCTTTGAAGTGAAACAGCACCGGTTCTTTAAAGATTTGGACTGGAATGGATTACTTCGGCAGAAAGCTGAATTCATCCCACAGTTGGAATCTGAGGATGACACAAGCTATTTTGACAGTAAGGCTAAAGATTCAGCCTAAATGGCATCGTATTTTTCACACATATGTCATTTTAGAAATTGTTAGGTATAAGTCATTATTAGAAATTGAATAAAACACTTAGAGGAAATTGCTTTAGAAACTTTCTGTTGAATGCCAAGTAAGTTTTCCTTGAAAGCAAATGACTTGTAAATGAAAAAATGTTGCTGCTGAAGTCAATTGGCCTTTCACTGGTGCCTGTGGTCCTGCTGGTCATGGCCCTGCAGTGAGAGGTGCTGTGGTTGCTGTGCTGGGTTTATTACAGTACTTCCAAAGCATTTTGTATCTCCAACTTCCTTGAGTTTTTGATCAATGTTATCTTTCCC